CCTCTTAGCCCAATAGGTTGGTTAGAAAGAAAGAAAAAAGAAGCCACTCCCATTTCTGTATCACGATTGCCGTTTTTTAGCAAGTGTGTGAACTCACAGTGCTTTTCTATGAATAAATCATGGATCACAGAAAATATCATTTTTCTAAAATCAGAATTGTGTTCTCTCAATAAATGGGGCCCTTCTTTCTCTTCTGCATTGCCCTAGGCTGGGACAAGGAATTGGTTGCACCTCTAGTACAGTGGGTCCCTAGTGGTCTAAGGAGATGTGGAATGGAAAATGAAGAACTTCCTGCCACACCACTCCCCTCTCCAGAGCTCACAGGCACTTCAGACCTTGTCCCAGGAAGTAGGTACCACCACGATGGGCAGAAACACCAAGGTGCTGAGAAAATTGGAGGGTATACTCAGAAAAGAATGCAGAGCAACCCTGAGTGCAATAGGGCCTTTTGGCTTCAAAGGCCTTCTCCCCTCAAAGATGCAAGTCTATCTCTACTCCTAAGCATCCTAGCCCTGAGTCTTTATGTCCACACCCCCTGCCCCCACCATCTTTTGGTGTCAAAGCTGAAGTCCTCTCAGCTTCTCCCTGCTCACACAGATTCCATCTTCCTCAAGGGGACTCTCTAATATATTCTAGCAATTTCTGTGTCCCTCTCTGATCTACACCCCCCCTTCCATCCCCAGACACAAAGCTCTGTCAATTTGGCCTCGTATGCTGTGGGGACCCCATTACTCTGCAAATGTCACAGCTTCAGCTGCTAGGAAGCTTTACCCAACCCTACCTGGTCCTCAGGCTCAGAGAGGTGAGAGCAAAATGGTAGTGAGGGCCCTGACATTGGGCCCTACAGTACATACTCATGGATATCTGAGCTCCTAAGACTTGGAGAAGATGCAGAAAGGGGCCCCAGGGAAGAAGCAGAGGCTAAGAAGGAACTGAGGATAAGAGCAAAGATCTTCCACAAATGAAACCGTATGTTAGACTTCACCTCTGGAATTTTATTCTCCTGGAAACAATCAATCATCTTTGTTAGTGGTAGCTGAGAGAAAAGGTGTGTGCTCAGTTCTGTCGAAGCAGACGTGAGTGTCTATGCACAGCATCCACAAAGGCCCCCACATGTTCTGGGTCCATGTCAGGGTAAAGTCCATGCCCCAGGTTGGCAATGTAGCGCTGCGGCCCAAAGTCATCCAGCATCTGCTGCACCAGCCGTCCGATCTCCTCCTGGAGGACCAACAGGGCACTGGCTACAGGGGAGCCAGCAAGCCCCTGTACTCCCTATGCATAACCATGACATAGCACGTAGGCATGCTTCTACTCCGTGTTATTCATCCAGTCATTAATTCAAAACAGTTTACGGGATGCTTAGTATGGGCCAGACAACTATAAAAAGAAATTCCTGCTTTCCTAGAGCTCACATGAAACGAACAGCAGGACATACATACAATAAAGACACACACAGTAATATAACCATGTTCACAGCCATGGGAGTATATACACACACACGTAGGGACCCTAGTTACCTTAGATGCATACAGAGCACAGGGGTCCAGGTTGCCCTGCAAGGTCACCGTCTTCCCCACGCGTTCCCTGAAAGCAAAGTCAGTGCCATGTCCTGGTGACTGCTCGTGTGGCAGCTGCTCCCTCTCCACCTCATCCTCTATCACTCACCGGGCTTTCTTTGGGGCCACTGTCCAGTCAAGCCCAACCACCTCATAGCCAGCGTGGGCCAGCTCTTCCAGGGCAAAATGTCCATCTTTAGCAAAGATGATCTGAGGGAAAGGACAGATTCCTGAGGCAACAAAAGGCCTGCCTTTGCCCACTAACTTATCTTGGCTGCGCCTCTGCTGCCCTCCAGTGGTCACTTCAGTCCCTGAAGATTCCACAGGCCCACCTTCACTTACTCCATCCCCATCCTTACCATGGGCACTGGTGCCAGGCCTGCCTCCTGCAGCCTGGCCTTCACCCGCTTGGCCACATCACGGATGTAGGGCAGTGCAAACTTACTGAAGAGCTGTGGGCCAAGATGCCCTGCATGGGACTCAAAGAGCTGCAATGCCTACAGTTGGAGGGGAGGAGGGGATGGTAAAGACAAATACATAACACACAAAGTATCTCAGACCCCACACACACGTGTCTCAATTTCTCCCGAGTAACTTCAGACCCTCATACTGCCTAAGCCTGTAAATCCAGTTCCATTAAAAAAGTTCTGCTTTCTCCACATACCAGTGCTAGCTTTGGTCTTTGAATGCATATAGCACTGCGAATGTCAATGACAAGTTTGGACCTAGGTGCTCCAGTCAGATCATCATAGGCCAAGCTTCTTTCCTGCTGGGCATTATGACACCTACCCTCTCAGGTGTAGGGAACTGTACTGCTTCTCATTCTTCTAGACCCCAAGCCTATTCCTCTCCCTCAGGACCCACCTGGGCACCAGCAGCCACTTGTCCCACCAGATATGGGACCAGAGCATCAGTGAGGATGCGAAGCAGCTGGTGACTAGCCTGTGGTTTCTGGTAAAGCCAACGCTTGGCCTGAGCCATGGTGCTTGAGCCGCCACCCTCAATCATGTATGTCATCAGAGTCCACTGCAAAAGGAATCAAAGAGAATGTCGTAGGCGTAGAAGCCAGACTGATACTTACTTCCCTTGTCTACGCCAGACCACCAGAATGATTTCCCCATCCCCAAGTCCCTGCCTTGCTCCACATTACCGGGGCACCAGCAAAGCCAATCAGCGGCACACGCCCAGCCAGCTGTTGTCGGGTAAGGGTGATGGCCTGGAACACATAGCCCAGCTCGGAGGTCACTGTTGCTGGATCCCGGAGACGTTCTAAGTCCCGTTCTTCTCTTAATGGCTCTGGGAGGCTGGGCCCTTTGCAGGGCACCATAGTCACCTCCATGCCTAGTGCCTGGCGAGGAAGAAAATACCTGGATTTCCTACCTATAACTCTAGAAGGAAAGGCTCTGTTCAGCCCATGCCAAGAAGGAAGAAAAGGAGAATGAAACTTGGTGAAACTCCATCTCTTTCAGCCCAAGTTTTTCCCTCTGTCCAATAAAGATAAATGCTTATCTTGAGCCTTGACTATCTTTACTCTTTCTTTTTTTTTTTTTTTTTTTTTTAATTTTATTTATTTATTTGACAGAGAGAGATCACAAGTAGACAGAGAGGCAGGCAGAGAGAGAGAGAGGGAAGCAGGCTCCCTGCTGAGCAGAGAGCCCGATGCGGGACTCGATCCCAGGACCCTGAGATCATGACCTGAGCCGAAGGCAGCGGCTTAACCCACTGAGCCACCCAGGCGCCCCTCTTTACTCTTTCTTACCCATCAGGTTTGAACGGGTACCTGGGGTACAACAAGGATGTCAGAGAAGATGATGGCAGCATCCAGAGGGAAGCGACGCAGTGGCTGTAGGGAATAGAAGACAGGTTACTAGGAGGCAAGCTGAGGGCATAAATACCTCCCTTTTTCATAGAGGCCTCACCTGCAAAGTCAGTTCACAGCAGGCCTCTGGGGAGCGACAGGTGCTGAAAAAGTCCTGGGCAGCCCGAGTTTCCCTAAACTCTGCAGACAGAAGAGGGAAAGCAGGGCCCAACCCTGAGGAACCTCTGGATCTCTCCCCTGCCCCTCAAAATCTTTTAACTCTCCAGAGTTTCACTTGGATTCCTGGGCCCGGACCCTGACCTGGTAAATAGCGGCCTGCCTGGCGCATGCACCAAACGGGAGTGTAGTCTGTGTCTTCTCCCCAGGCTGCTCGCAGGAACGTGTCATTCTTCAACTCTGGAAAACCCTGGGATCTGGAGATCAGGAGGGGGTGGGGGTAGGCGTCAGTAAGCTTGGCCAAGGGTTGGGGAAAGGCCCGGGTTCTTAAGGCGGATTCATTCTGACACCATTATCTGCCTTCTCCAGCCAGTTCCTAAGCTGTGGCTCCCCGCCCGTTCCACCTCTTCTTTGCCTATCAGATGGTGCACAAGACTAGAAGGGCCCGCGCTGGGGCCTCTATCTTCCACACAGCCCCAACTCCCCCAAGCTCAAAGCCACTGGAGAACCTGGGGGAAGGGCGTAATGAAAGCCCAGTAAGAACTGATCAGGGTCTTTGGACCAGAAAATCTCAGGAACACGGCTACCAGTTGGCTGGTTCGGAAGCTGGTGGACCCCCAGGATAGGGTACACTGAATGAGAAATCAGAGAACACGGTCCCAAAATACGGATCCTAACTGAGGATAAGAAAATCCTAGAGGCATCCCCTAAATGAGTCTCAGGAATCCATGTGTAGAGGATTAGGGATTCCAGAGACAGGAATCGGGTTGGGAATTCTCCAAGGTCGGGAAAGAGGGGTATAGGGACAGATTCCTGAGTTGGAAGAGTCAGGTCAGAAATCAGGTGGGCCATACCAAGTGGTGCAGAGAACTCACCCCAACCCGTTCGCCTCCATGATAAGCCTTGGGTAACTGCGAGCACAATCCCCACTGTAACTTGAACCGGAGCCTGTGAGATCAAGCTCCACCCCTTCCTGGAGGGAGCCAGGGCAGCCGCCATGTTGAAAGTCACATGATCAGACACTGGCATTAGCTCCGGGGCTGCCCCGGGTGCTGCCGGTAGGACCCCCGACTACCGTAAAATCCGTAAAATCCGCTGTAGCGTCGCAGCAACAAACTCCCCCACCCCTCTCCTACCCTCCCCACCGCCAAGAACTCCGCAAATAACTACACCTTACCGTGGCATCAGGAATCTCCTCTCCTCTGATGGCCTGGAAATCCGAGAGTTTCAGCCAAGACTCACTTTTACTCCCATGCTCCATGATTCTAACAATCAGGCCTAGCGACCAGGCACACAGTAGATTAAAGAACCAAGCTCTACAGGGAAATGAAATAATTAAATATTTACATTACCGGGGCACCCGGGTGGCTCAATTGGTTAAGTGTGCGGCTTGTGATTTCGGCTCAGGTCATGATATCATGGGTCCTGAGACAGTCTTCAG